AGACTCTGCCTCAAAAAAAAAAAAAAAAAAAAAAAATTAAAAAAAGAAAAGGTGGGTGGGGGCAGGTTTAATTAGACCTTTCCTCTAGATACTTCTGGAAGGTCTTGGAATTAAAAACATACAGCTTTTATAAACCCACTCACACACTTGGCAAGCTGAATTGTCCACAGACTTTTCCAAACCTTAATAATATAAAATAAAACCATAAAAAATAATAATAAAAAAAAGCAACCATAAATAGGAGATAGAATAAATTGTATGCAGTGCAGTCATTTCAGAGTACGGTGCAACCATTCTAAACCCTGAGGTATCTCTGTGCTGATGTTAGATTCCAAAATACATTGTTACACACCTCACTTTTTTCGCCTTGGTAGTGTGTGTGTTTCTTTTGAAAATGATGAGTAGGTTGGAAGAGGGCAGGGAATAGGGGTGGGTGAAGGTGAACAGAGTCCAGCTGATTGCTGCAGAGTCCCTGGCATTAGTTCAGGTGAGATGAGACCCGAGTAGGCCAGTGAGCCTGGAGGAGAGGCTTTCTGTGTGTTTAATTGATTTCCAGCTTTTTTTCTCTATTCATTTAGGTAATACACATTTCTTTTGTGAATTTTTATTTAAATTTTTGTTGTTGTTGTTACTGGATCTACAAACAGCCCAACTCCAAGGAATCTGGCGTCTCTCAATGGAGCATACAGGTGACTTCATAATCTAACTGCACTAGTAACTGGCAAAATTGGAAGTAATTTCTCTCTGTTTAAATGGCAGTGAAACAAATTTTCAGAGCAGGTTTCTTCAACTGAACAAAATATTTTGAACCTTAGAGGTGGTATGGCTCTCCTGATCAGGGAGGGACTGTGAAAGGTTTGAGCTCTGACACTGCCCAGCTCTCTGGATACAACCAAGTGACTTTCTTTGAGTGGGGAGAAGTTTCCTGACTCCTCATATTACCTTCCTTAGGGTAGACTTTGGGCCTGCAGTGATATTAGTCCTAACTTGCTCTTAGTTAAGAAGAGTTCATCTTTAGAAACATGACAGCAAAGCAACTCAAACTCCAAAGAGGCATTAGGCCATAGATTGTACAGATACCTACATTTTCTTTATAATAGTCTATATGCTTAGAAAAGGACATACAGATCTTAGTGTAACATACTTAAATAAAATAGTTTCTTTCATCTGCTTCACAAGAGAAAGCAAAATATTTTGGCCGGGCACAGTGACTTACGCCTATAATCCCAGCACCTTGAGAGGCTGAGGCAGTTGAATCACTTAAGCCCAGAAGCTCGAGACCAGCCTGGGCAACATGGTGAAACCCCATCTCTACAAAAAATACAAAAATTGGGCCGGACGCTGTGGCCCACACCTGTAATCCTAGCACTTTGGGAGGCCAAGGCAGGCGAATCACCTGAGGTAAGGAGTTCGAGACCAGCCTGGCCAACACGGCAAAACTCCGTCTCTACTGAAAATACAAAAACTAGCCGGGCATGGGTGGTGTGCACCTGTAATCCCAGCTATTCAGGAGGCTGAGGCAGTAAAATCGCTTGAACCCAGGAGGCAGAGGTTGCATTGAGCCAAGACTGTGCTACTATACTGCAGCCTGGGCGACAGAGTGAGACTCCATCTCAAAAAAAAAAAAATTAACCAGGTGTAGTGGCACGTGCCTGTAGTCCCAGGTAGTCAGAGGGCTGAGATGGGAGGATTGCTTGACCCCAGGAGGTTGAGGCCGCAGGTGAGCCAAGATTGCACCACTGCATTCCAGCCTGGGCTGAACAAAGTGAGACACTGTCTCAAAAAAAAGAAAAAAAAAAATTATATATATATATATAATGTAGTATTATATATATATAATATAGTATTGTTCAGAGGGTCTTGGGATTTTCCTGAGGGTCCTAACCTGCTTCTCTGTCCTCATCAGCTACCCATCCTTCTCCACCTACGTTGTGCCCCTGCAGGCACACACAGGTAACCTCCAAGAATGCAGTGCCGGTGCTCCTTTAGCCCAACACCTATGCCTTAGCCTGTGCTGCTCCACTGGCTAAAATGTGCTTCACCCTTACATGCATAGTGACACTTATTCAGCTTTCAGAGTCGAGCCCAGGGGTCATGTTCTGCCTGTCATTCTCTCCAGACAGCTGATGAATGACCTCCTGCTCTACGGGGCCTTGATACCTTACATGATTTCATTTATCTCCCTGTTGTCTAATTATTTGCATGTTTTATCTCCCCTGACATAGGTACCTGACATAACTATTTAATTTTTACTTTCCATCTAAATACCACTAAAAATTCAAAATTAATCCTACACTGAACCTTAAACACTTCTTTATTTTTAATAACTATATGTCTCATCCTGTGGATACATCTTCACTTACACATTATGTCCTTTACTGTTGAGCATTTGTGTTCAGTATTTGCTGTTAAAAGCCTGGCTGTGACTATCTTATGGCTGAATCTTTGTGTACATGTTGTGTGAATTGTTTTCTTAATCTGCCGTCTTAGAAGGAAAATTATGGTTGTGTATGTGTTCCATATTCGTTACACATCGGTGGCTCCGGCAGATACATGCCCCTTAGGAACTAATGCTTTCTGATTCTTTCTGTGCCTCAGCTCTGTGCTTTTTACTTTGAGAGTGATCGTGGTTTTCCTTAACATCTTTTGTCCTGAATGTTGAGCAGTTCACCACAGCATGTGTGTAGTATGAGGAGGAAAAAAAACATAAGGAACTTGGCAATTTTTTGTTCCAAGTGAAAGACCTAGACAGTTTTTTGTTGTTTTTATTATTTCCCATTGCAACCCTTAAATATGGTTTGGATTGCTTCCACCTCGTGGCTGTTGTGAATAGTACTTCTGTGAACGTGGGTGTGCAACGTCTTTGAGGCTGCGCTTTCAATTATTTTGGTTATATCCCCAGAAGTAGGATAGTAGGATTGTTGGATCGTATGTTCTTTTTTTTTTTTTTTTTTTTTTTTTGTTAGCAGGGTATTACTCTTTCACCCAGGCTGGAACACAGTGACATGAACACAGCTCACTGTAGCCTCAACTTCCTGGGCTCAAGAGGTCCTTCTGCCTCCACCTTCCCAGTAGCTGGGACTGCAGGTGCACGCCACCATGCCCTGCGAATTTATTTTGATTTTTGTAGAGGCAGAGTCTCACCATGTTCCCTAGGCTGGGCACAAATTTGTGGCCTCATGCAATCCTCCCGCCTTGGTCTTCCAAAGTGCTGGGATGACAGGTGTGAGCCACTGCGCCTGACTACTATTTTTAATTTTTAAATTACTGTTATTTTTAAAAACAAGAGTCTTGCTCTGTTGCCCAGGCTAGAGTGCAGTGGTGCAATCATGGCTCACTGCAGCCTTGACCTCCCTGGCTCAACTGATCCTCCCACCTCAGCATCCCACATAGCTGGGGCTACAGGCGTGTGCTACCATGCCCAGCTAATTTTTAACTTTTTTGTAGGCATGGGATCTCTCTATGTTGCCCACGCTGATCTCAAGCTCATGATTCAAGCAATCCTCCCGCCCCAGCCTCCCAAAGTGCTGGGATTACAGGCATGAGCCACCATGCCTGGCCAGTCTCTTACTGTTAAGGAATTAAAATCCAGTTAAAAAATATTTAGCCTCATATATATATTTCTAATATATAGAAGTTTGTATATATTTCTATTATATCTAAGATATAATACAATTGTCATGTTATCCCCCAAATAAAGGTGATCTCCAAGATCAGCACTGGAAGGTCGGAATTGTTCGGTATGACCCAACTATTTGGATCTGGATTTTTTCAGGGAGGAGGAATCAGATTTAGATGACTGGCAAGGAAAGATCGTACATTTTACAGAAGGAGGTGTTTTATAGGGGTGGAACTTTGGCTTGGTTCCTATCATTTTCAGCAGTATCTAGTATAGCTACCTCTTATCTCAGGGCAGCCTCACAAAGTCATTGCCATCTGTGACATGGTAGCAGAGATATGAGCCCTGGAGTCAGTCAGACTTCATTTCAGAATGCTGACCCCACCAGTTACTAACAGAACAAAAGAGAATACTGGTTTTGTTCATTTGTAAAACTGGAAAAATAATACTTTATGGAGTTGCTTTGAGAATTCATATATGAAAATAGAGTGCATGGTACATACCTGCAGGCCCTCCTTGCACCCATCATCCCACACCTCCACCTTGCAAGGTGCATGTTCAGTGTCCCTTACCTGTGTTCCCGCAATGGTTGGTTATCATAGAAGCTGTCACATTGGTGTACTTGTCCACGTTGGCACATTCTATTAGTTTGTGAGTTCCTTATCTTTGAATCTCTAGCAACTTAGCAGAGGACCTAGCTCATAGTAGGTACCAAAGAAGTGTAAATATTAATAGAATGAATGCATGTCTTGCTGTTTTACTTCTCATGGGAGGAATGTGTGCCTATTTCAGCAGGACGATAGATACCGTTATATAGTGTAGTCAGTAATTACGAACTAGTCTAGTGGCTCTGAAAATTATTGCTGTTAGGACTCCTTTATACTCTTAAAAATTATTTTGGGCCCCAAACAGCCTTTGTTTATGTGGACTGATATTCAGGGTCTTTAGAAATTTAAAATTAAAATATGAATTTTGAGGTAATGATAAACATGTTAATCATTTGAGGTAATGATTACATGTTAACACATTTTCATGAAAAATAACATTCATGCCTCCCATTTTTTTCTAATGATTTTACAGTCATTAGAAAATATTTTACAGTTTTCTAAGCCTCTTGCATGTCTAATTTAAAAGACAGATGGAGTTTACTGTTTACTGCAGTCTGTTGTGATAAGTCGTTTTGATTAAAGTATATGCAAAAAATCGAGCCTCACATAGATATGTAGTTTGAAAAAGGAAAACCTCCTGGACTCCCAAAAGGATCTCAGGGACTTCCAGGGGTCTTCTGAGAACGCTTGAAGAATCCCTGATCTAGTCTGAAAAGGAAAGTGTGGTGTCCAGATATTAGAGGATGGATTAGGGAGAAATCCCATGTGTTTAGCTCTCTATAAAACGGGTTTACCCGTTGTCATTTATTATTTGTAGGTTAAAAAAAGTCCTTCATGAAAAAGAAAGATCTTAAGCAACATGATGGATTCAGAAGCTCATGAAAAGAGGCCACCAATACTAACATCTTCAAAACAAGATATATCACCTCATATTACAAATGTTGGTGAGATGAAGCATTACTTGTGTGGCTGCTGTGCAGCCTTCAACAATGTCGCTATCACATTTCCCATTCAGAAGGTCCTCTTTCGACAACAGCTGTATGGCATCAAAACACGGGATGCAATACTTCAGTTGAGAAGGGATGGATTTCGAAATTTGTATCGTGGAATCCTTCCCCCATTGATGCAGAAGACAACTACACTTGCACTTATGTTTGGTCTCTATGAAGATTTATCCTGCCTTCTCCACAAGCATGTCAGTGCTCCAGAGTTTGCAACCTGTGGCGTGGCGGCAGTGCTTGCAGGGACCACAGAAGCAATTTTCACTCCACTGGAAAGAGTTCAGACATTGCTTCAAGACCACAAGCATCATGACAAATTTACCAACACTTATCAGGCTTTCAAGGCACTGAAATGTCATGGAATTGGAGAGTATTATCGGGGCTTGGTGCCCATTCTTTTCCGGAATGGACTCAGCAATGTCTTGTTTTTTGGCCTTCGAGGTCCCATTAAGGAGCATCTGCCTACCGCGACGACTCACAGTGCTCATTTGGTCAATGATTTTATCTGTGGAGGTCTATTGGGTGCCATGTTGGGATTCTTGTTTTTTCCAATTAATGTTGTAAAAACTCGCATACAGTCTCAGATTGGTGGGGAATTTCAGTCTTTCCCCAAGGTTTTCCAAAAAATCTGGCTGGAACGGGACAGAAAACTGATCAATCTTTTCAGAGGTGCCCATCTGAATTACCATCGGTCCCTTATTTCTTGGGGCATAATCAATGCAACTTATGAGTTCTTGTTAAAGGTTATATGAAAAATACCATCAGTTAAGTGCCATTTATCAACTGAATAGACCTTCTAAGAAGAATGCAGTTTGACCTCTTTCTTAATTGGCCGAATACAAGTTGGTGTCATGACTCCAGGGCACAGTGAGTTATGGGCAAAGCTATTTTCCTTCAGCATCAACAAAACAGAATAAAAGGTTCCAGTAGGAAAATACAAAGTTTTTTGTTTTGTTTTCTGTTTTTTTTTTGTTGTTGTTTTTTTTTTTTTTAATCATTACCTAAGAGCTTTAGGCTAATTGCCTGGAAAATAGCTTTCCATCTGATGGCCTTTGACAGGGAATCTAATCCCCAAGATAGGATTCTTTTTCTCAAACCGGTCTTGAAGTCTCCTGCATTGAAACATAAGTGGCTGTGACTGGCCAGAGAGAAGGTCCTCAGGGGCCAGGGGCTCCTCAAGCTTCCTTTGTTACTCCATTGCTTGCTTCTCTGCCCTCAGGAGCAGCTGCAGAGGACTTTCTTCATTAGGCTCAAGCATATGACAAAGGGGCAGAACAGAGAAGACAAACAGCTTATTAGGTATAGCCTTTTCATGATAAATTGCTTGTATTATTTTTGAAACTAAGCACCTGTTGGATAGTCATTGTACTGTCTCTGTTTAGATATGGTAGATCAAGGAGCTATGAAAGTTCCCGTTTTGCTTTCTAGGTTTGGAAGTTTTCTGTTTGATTCTGACTGTGACCTTCAACCCTTCCAAAATGTCCTTATAATTTCACTTATTTCATTGCCAAAAGATGGAGGGACTTAAATTTTGTTATAGGTGTTCCATCCTGTTAACAAGTTTTCATTTTGTGTATAGATCAAATTCTGTTTAGCTTGGTTCCTTTCAGTTACTGGTGCCATCTCAGCAAAGGTCTGTGGTTATTTTTCCCCTTGAGTAGCAGTTGGTCATATTCAAACATCCTGTTCTCTTAAAACTCTCCTTTTAAAAAGTAAACGCTTCCATAACATTTTGTTTTGGAAGTCTATTAATGGAATCCCACTTACTTCCCCCTAGTTTCTAAATGTTACAGAGGGGGGAAAAGACTCAGGATCGTTTTAACCACCGCCCCCCCCCCCGAGTGTTCGCTGTCTTTTATTTTACTCTTGGAAATAGAGACTCCATTAGGGTTTTGACACTTTGGGAACCCCGTTTTACCATTGTGTCAGTAAAACAGTAAGATAATTTGAGAGCATACAATCTAAATAAAGACATTTGAAGGGTTAGTTTGAATTCTAAAAGTAGGTAATAGCCAAATAGCATTCTCATCCCTTAACAGACGAAAACTTTGTCAAAGGAATTAGAAAATGTGAAAATATTTTTTCCAGATGAAACTCATATGCCACTTACAATTGACTAATGAAATACAAGAGACAGACTGAAAAAGTGGATTATGAATCTTAAAACCCTTTCTGTAAATATTATGTAGCTAAAGATTGATTTCCAGCTTCTGACATGACGGTAGGTTTCTTGTTAACCAGTTTTTCTTCTTTCTGGGTAATTGCATGTGAATATATGCACATACTGACCAAAATAAAATCGGGGCCGCAACTTGGTAGTTTACTGAAAGTTCCTGGGCAAATAGTCCATAAAAGCTGTTTACCTCTAAATGCACTATGGCTGGTTAAATACAGTGAACATCCTTCTTCCAGCTGTAAAGGATGAAGTGTATTAAGCATTGGCCAGGCAGTAATAAAGGTAAATAGCTCTACAGCAGCTTTGTCTGACAATGTTGTGCTGGATATTGCAGTTTGTTTTCAAGGTGCAGATGTAAGGATTTAAAAAAAATAATAATTTGGCACCAAATAAATATGAGTAGCGTCCTTTGGCCTATTAAATAGAGTCAGGATTTGAAGGGAATTGAGTTTGAGAAATGAATAAATAAAGGCACCTTGGTGCCTGACCCCCTCGTTCATGTGTGTGACTCTGTCAGTAGGTGTGTCCAGCTCCTCAGCCCAGGGCAGGTGGGTTAGCCTGGGAATAGACACCATTGGGCCTTTGGTTTTGTTGGGCTTCCTTTTGACTTTACACTCCATACAGGTGGTAGAAATCTGAGTTCTAAAGCACTTTTGTGAAATACAAGCAAAGTGAGAATTCTAAGGAAAATGCTTTGGTTTCTGCTGTCTCAAATAAGTGGCGTTTAAAAACAATTATTAATAAATATTTTTAATGGTTTTAACTCAGTTTTTTTTTTTTTTTTTAATTTCTTTGTCACTCTTTACAGCTTTTGAAGACCAAACTGCAAATACATTACCAGGGATGGTTTTGTGTTGTCCTATAGGCTTCTTAAATTTGACAAAAAATTTAGCAGAACTTGTAACCAACAGCTTTGAACTTGAAGTCAAAATGTATTGTTAATAAGAGATTCTAACTATTGCTTTTACCTTCAGTGTGAACTAGTGTGGTAACAAGTTTGAAAAGGCAGGCCAGGCGTGGTGGCCCATGCCTGTAATCCCAGCACTTTGGGAGGCCAAGGCGGGTGGATCACTTGAGGTCAGGAGTTTGAGAACAGCCTGGTCAACACGGCGAAACCCCATCTCTACTAAAAATACAAAAAATTAGCCGGGTATGGTGGCACACGCCTGTGATCCCAGCTACTCGGGAGGCTGAGGCAGGAGAATCGCTTGAACCTGGGAGGTGGAGGTTGCAGTGAGCTGAGATTGCACCACTGCACTCCAGCCTGGACGACAGAGCAAGACTCTGTCTCAAAAAAAAAAAAAAAAAGAAATTGAAAAGACAAACATGATTGAATATCTGAAAAGCTTTAAAAGTGGCCTTTCTGTTACATATGTGGCACAAATGGCTCATGAGTACAGGACACTTATGGTCTTGTGTTCTATACTTCATGTGTGATGCCACCAGAAATGTTATGGATTCTGTATTGAACACACTGAGAGTGGTATGAGCCCTCAGGACTGCACCACAGAGTAAACACAACCTTGATATGGTGACGAATATGTGTGTCTTTCTTGTTTCATTTGTGCTTGGGGACAAAATCGATGTCTTTGTCTAAATAGTCGATATTCATCTTAACATGGTTGGCTGTATAATCACCGGCTATATTGTGAACTGTGCAATAAAACAGAATCGTGTGTATATAATTACCTTTGGATACCTGAAATTCCCAAGCTTGGTTACAATGTAATGCTCAGTATAAGGCTGTGCAAACATGTAAGGGAATAATGGTGGTCGATGGGATATATGAAATGGGATCTAGAGGGCTTCGAGTGAAGCCAATCATGTTGAACTAACACTGTTTCAGTGTAGATGAAGTAGAGTGAGGCGTATGCAGTCATAAAATGAAGGGTGGGCAGGAGTTTACATTTGAAGAAAGGGTAAGCACTCAGACTTGGTTTCTTTTAAATTAAAATATTTGTTTTATCATGTGCAAATGCATATCAAAAACTTGAACAGGTATTCTCTTGAAATTTGAGGAGTTTTAGTTTTTAATGCTGTCTTTGCTTAATATTAAATATGTGTTGTGTGGGAGTCTCTAAATGTTTCCTCTTGAAGGTTCATTACTGAAAGTGGTTAAGCGCACAATGCTATTTTTGATAGTTTGAGTTTTATGACCATATGAGTTTAAATGAAATATGTTAAATGTTTCAGAGTTAACAATTTTTTTTTTGATAATTTGGAATAAAGTTTGTTTTTGTTTTAAACAAACAAAGTTTGTTTCACTCTTTTTGGTCTTCTCTTATGGTTGAGTAGTTCCTTAATACTAGCACGTTCCTTTTTTGTGGTATTAATAGATTAACCTGTTAGTCTTTTTATTGAGAAAACAGCACACTACCTTGGCTTTTAGCAACTTAACCTGGGAATGTGGCAGGTAAAACATTCCTTTGTCTATCCATCTTATTTGGTCAAGAGGGTTTCATGTAAGTTTTTTTCCAGGTAGTTTAACTGCAAAGCTTTTTTTTTTTTTTTTGACAGGGTTTCTGTTGCCCAGGCTGGAGTGTAGTTGCACGATCATGGCTCACTGTAGCCTTGACTTCCTGGGCTCAAGCGATCCTTCTGCCTCAGCATCCTGAGTAGCTGGGACTACAGGCACATGCCACCAAACCCAGCTAATTTTTGTAGAGATGGGGTTTCACCATGTTGCCCAGGCTGGTCTTGAACTCCTGGGCTCAAGCAGTCCGCCCACCTTGGCCTCCCAAAGGTCTGAGATTACAGGCGTGAGCCACCGTACCCGGCCACACATTTTATTTCTTAACGGTCTTCCTCATATAATAAACTTCCCTACTGAGTTTAAACTTTCTTGGTTTAGCTTCTCAGTACTTTCTGTTGTAATAGAGTACCCTCATGTAATGTTTACTCCCAAGGTAAATAGTCTGGATGTTTGTCCTTTTCAGTTTTTTGTTTGTTTGTTTGTTTTTTTGGTTTTTTTAAATACCTTCTTTTGCTTTCAGAGCTGGTTAGGAGAGTGTGAAGCTTTAGCCACATTGTGAATTTGCTTGTTAAGTTTTAGGTTGTTTCCTGGCTTTAGAGATCGTTGGGATTGCCTGATAAGGACAGCAAGGTAAAGGAGCAGTCGCTTCTAAAAGTCCTGTTTTGGATGGAAATCCATCATAAAGAGAAAGTGCAATATCCTGAACTTGTAAATTTAGATTTGATAAAAAGGGTGTTTAATCATCATATCATCTGGTGAAATCTGTTAACCCACCTGTAGCAGCCTCTGTAGAGTTCTAGCAGCCACTGTAGAGTTCTAGACCTCCAGAGTGAGGAGTAGGTGTGACCAGGAACGGCCCTGGGGGATCTCTGCTTAGCTACAGAGCTCTCCCAATCCCCAAGAGACTGGCCTCCATCTTAAATCTTTTTATTTATTTATTTATTTACTTATTTATTTAGAGATGGGGTTTCACTCTTGTTGACCAGGCTGGAGTGCAATGGTGTGATCTTGGCTCACTGCAACCTCCGACCCCTGGGTTCAAGCGATTCTCCTGCCTCAGCCTCCTGAGTAGCTGGGATTTCAGGCATGCGCCACCACGCCTGGCTAATTTTATATTTTTAGTAGAGACTGGGTTTCTCCATGTTGGTCAGGCTGGTCTCGAACTCCTGACCTCAGGTGATCTGCCTGCCTTGACCTCCCAAAGTGCTGGGATTACAGGCATGAGCCACCGCGCCTGGCTACCTTAAATCTATCTGACGTTCCCAACTAGGAAATTTTTTCTCCAAATGATTGTATCTGATTTTAAAGTAGAAATTGAAGGTAAAATAGGATTTATCTCAGTTCTTATCTCCCTTCAATCTATTCTTCATATTGTCAATTTTTTTTTTTTTTTTTTTAAAGATGGTCTCTGTCGCCCAGGCTGGAGTGCAGTGGCAAAATCTCGGCTCACTGCAACCTCCACCTCCTGTGTTCAAGCAGTTCTCCTGCCTCAGCCTCCTGAGTAGCTGGGATTGCAGGCATCCGCCACCACACCCAGCTAAATTTTTATTTTTTCAGGAGACAGGGTTTTGCGCCGGGCTGGTCTCACACTCCTGACCTCAAGTGATCCACCTGCCGTGGCCTCCCAAAGTGCTGGGATTACAGGCATGAGCCACCATGCCCGGCCGTCAGTAATTTTTTAAAATGTCACTTCAATAAGTGCCTTTCCTCTGTCATAAAGACCAGACACCTTGCTGTGGCCTACAGGAGACAGGATGATCCAGCCCTTGCCTCCCTTGCTCTCATCTCTAGCTAAAACTGCACTGCTGTCTCTGCACTCCAGCCACTGGCACTTCCTGATTACTTGGGGCATGCTGTACTCATCTTGCTCCCAGCTTCTGCCCATGTAGGTGCCCTCTGCCCTCAGCACTGCCTTTCTCTACTTGGTTTATAGACTGCTGTCCTTCAGATCTCGCTTGAAATGTCACTTCCTTGGGGAAGCTGGCTTACACTCTCAGGACTCGGTTAGGTTCCCCTGTCGGACTCCTCCTATGTCACCATGTTTCTATTTTTCACAGCACTTACCTGTTTTAATTACATCGTGAATAGTTTTTGTTTGGATCTTGGGGAGCATGTATTCTCTAGTACATTTTATTTGTGTTCTCTAATTTAAAATTTTTTCATCTTGCTTGATTTTTCTGCAGCTAAATTAGAAATTTGTAGTTTTCCCCCTAAAAAATGCAATGATGTTCTTTCTGTGATTTTCTGGTCACCTTTCTTCCAAGAAATCCATGTGCTCAAAGTGCTTGCTTGCAGTTTGCCCCATAATAAGTCATTGTTTAATCCAAAGATCTGAGCAGCAAACTGAGCTGATCCTTCTGGAGAAAGTATGGTTGAACAGCCGAGACCACTGGGTAGTTGAAGAGGAAACCACATATCCTGAACTCCTCAGTCTGGTGTGAGGGGAGGACAGCAGATAACTGAATGTGCAGTGTTCCCAAACATCACTGATCCCAAACCATTGCTTCTGCCTGCCACTGCCACAAATACAGTACGACTGCCCACCCCTTCATACTCAGCTTTAATCCTCAGAGTTTCATCTGGTCCTTTATGTGCAGATGTTACTCGAAGTCCACATGGAATGCCAAAATTTCCACAGGCCTTGATTTTTTTCATGGTGACTAAGGTCAGAAGTAGAACCCATCAGTACTATAACACTGCACTGACTTTCTGATTTCAAAAGCAACTGTAATCTCTACAACCCATGCAAAGTTTTTCTGTACCATTTGGAACCCTTCAGGAGTTACACTGAAGCCTTGATACGACTGTTTATCTTTTGGCCAGAAGTGGTGGCTCATGCCTGTAATCCCAGCACTTTGGGAGGCTAAGGCAGGAGGATTGCTTGAGCCTGGGCAACATGGCAAGACTCCGTCTCTATTTTTTTTAATAACATTTTTAAAAGGATGATTAAAAGACTGTCTTTCTGTATTGGCTTTGATCTCCTGATGGTCACTGTCTCTAGGAATCATTATCAATAACATCAGTGAGAACAATTTCTTTGCTGGTCACATCAACACCAAATTCATTCTTCATATCAACCAGTGTACAGTTCTAGGGGGCAACCAGGATGTCTCCAGTATTTCAAAACAACCTATGTGGCATGACTCAGGATACCCACTTCAGTTTTATACCAAGTGCAGCAAAGCCAAATTTTGCTGCAGTTAGCTGTTCCCTAGACCACTGTGGGTCATGATTGGCATCATCCTTGAAAAACATCTCCATTTTAGGTGGGTAAAACTCATAGCCTTTCTTGGCACCAGGATTTCTTTTGAGTAAAGAACCAGTTGCTATTCTTCCGCAAACCATTCAGTTGGAATTATTTCACACTGGGGCACAATGAAAGCTGTCTCCTCACATTTTCTGATAAAAGCAGTTTTAATACCTGCTTCCTGTAACAACAGAAAAATGCAACTGGTAATTTTATTTGAGGTTGCAACTTTTCCTTCCAGGTGATTCTGACTGCATTTCCTGCTGTCATCTGGCCCTTAGACTGCAGGAGGACTTTTCCTGGCCTATTTAACAAACAATTCATAGACCTCTTTTGTTTTACCTTCACACAGTTTTTTAGCAATGTTCAGTACCTCAGCCATCACCGTTATCCTGAGTGGGATGAGAGTTGCACCCATGCTGAGAGGCAGAAATCTCTGTTGTGAATATTTAATACCTGTTGCTTTATTTATTTATTTATTGACACAGATTCTCACTGTCACCTAGGCTGGAGTGCATTGGTGCAGTCTTGGCCCACTGCAGCCTCAGCCTCCCAGGCTCAAGCGATCCTCCCATCTCTTGCCAGTACCTGGGACCACAGGTTTGTGCCACCACACCCAGCTAAATTTTGTAATTTTTTGTAGAGACAGGGTTTCACCATGTTGCCTAGGCTGGTCTCAAACTTCTCAGCTCAAGTGATCCGCCCACCTCACCCTCCCAAAGTGCTGGGATTATAGGTGTGAGCCACCGTGCCTGGCTCTGTTGCCTCTTTAAAAAGCTAGTCCTGGCAGGGCACAGTGGCTCACGCCTGCAATCTCAGCATTTTGGGTGGCCAAGACAGGAGGATCTCTTGAACCCAGGAGTTTGAGGGTTCAAGTCCAGCCTGGGCAATGTAGTAAGACCTTGTCTCAAAAAAAAAAAAAAAATCAAGAATGATGGGACACATGGATATTCAGTATCACAGCATTCTGGAATATCCTATGAAATGACCAAATAAAGGTCAGCTTTCATTTGTTAATGGGTCATGGAGGTCATCTAAGGAAAAGGTACTTTTTACAATACATCTCAAAGTACTGAATTGTTTTAGCTTGGGCTTCTATAACAAAGTACCATAGACTGGATGACTTAAATCAGGGTTCCCCAACCCCCTGGGCCATGGACAGGTACACATCTGTTCAGAGACAGGCCACACAGCAGGAGGTGAGCAGTGGGTGAGCAAGCAGCCTGAGCTCTGCCTCCTGACAGATCAGTGGCAGCATTAGATTCTCATTGGAATGCAAACCCTATTGTGAACTGTAAGCAAGAGATCTAGATTGTGTACTCCTTATGAAAATCTAATGCCTGATGATCTGAGGTGGAACAGTTTCATCCCAAAACCATTGCCTCGCTCCACCTATCTGTGGAAATACTGTCTTCCATAAAACCAGCCCCTGGTGCCAAAAAGGTTGGGGACCACTGGCTTAAACAACATTTATTTTTCACAGTTCTGGAGGTTGGGAAGTCCAAGATAAGGAGCCAGCAGATTTGGTTCCTGGTGAGGGCCCTCTCTCTGGTTTGCAGAGGGCTGTCTTCTTGCTATCTCCTCACATAACAGAGAGAAAGTTCTATAAATTAGTTATCTTTATAAGATTACTAATCCCATCATGGGGCACCTCTCTCATGACCTCTTTAACCCTAATTACCACCCACAGGCCTCACTTCCATACACTATCACATTGGAAGTTAGGGCTTAAATATATGAGTTCAGTCTACAACATAAGCTGCATGATTGATGAGACTGTTCTTTATTCTCCTTTAGTTTCCAAACACTGCCAGCGATCCCTGACTCAGAAATGTCTAGCCAATTTGAGCTAAAACACTTGTGCATGAGTCAGGATTCAGAGGTACAGGCACTCCATTTTTCTTATCCCTCCTGTCACTGTTTCTGAATTGTGGAACTCAGTTGAATGAAATGGACTAGGAAAAGCAAGAAGAAAGTATTGTTTAGAATAGTTTGTCGTGGGCCCCTGCTTTGTTACTGTTAGAAGCACCTTTAAGGCAGTGACTGTTTACACTATTTTAGGGCAGCTCGCCTCTATAGCTGCTCTGCCTTTCATCAACAGAAACAAACTCAGTTCAGGTACTCTTTATTAAGCAATTCCTTCCTTCTGATGTACACTAAAAAATGCATTTAGTTACACTGAGAAGCTCTCTATTTGTTTCAGATAATATGAAGAAAAACTATTTCTCTTTCAAGGGTCATCATATCTATAATAGGTGGTTTATAGTAAGTAGCTTTCTCATTTCCTTGGGCAAAAGAAGCTTCAGAATTTTTCTTAACCCTCTCAGTTTTCTGGGGAAAGTGGCTAAACAAATTTCCAGCTTTTCTCGGGCTTCCCCTCCTCACTAAATAACAATGATAGAGTTCTGAGATGGACCAAGAGTAGGAAAAAGTGGGTACAGTTGGAAACTGAGGATCTTTCATTTGTAATCTATGTGTAAAATATGGAAGTAAAGAGTAAAAAAAATTAGGAGATGAGGGCCTCAGTTTGAAGATACAGTTGATTTGGTTTTTGGTAGAGATGGGGTCTTGCTATGTTGCCTAGGCTGGTCTCAAACTCCTGGCCTCAAGTGATCCTCCCGCCTCAGCCTCCCAAAGTGCTGGGATTATAGGCCTGAGCCACCATGCCCAACCAGCAACAGGTTTTATATACCTTGAGAAAGTTAAAGGGGAGTCCAAGAAGATTAAAGTTTTGCTGTTGCTATCTAGAGCTCTTGAAAGCTTCTGCCACTTGTGATCAAAGAACAGGAATGCATGTTGTTTGTGTCTGGGAGCAATACCACACCTATTTGAGTCTATTTCAACTCAAACTAGAGGAAAGCAGAATCCCCAAATTTCAATTTGTGCCTTTTACAGTTTTTTCCTCATTTATTTAGCGAATTTGTATTACACCTACTCAGTATTGTAAAACTGCCATTTCAGGACAAATCATTTTTAGTTAAGAGGTTCTAAAATTATGGAAAATAAAGAGCATTGGCTGCCCCAGACAAGTTCCAAAGTAAAAATTAAATATCCCTTGATTGCTCCATTACCTCCCAGGCTGGATTAGGTCCCTTCTGTGCCAAGTGATAACTGTTTCTTGCCTGTCTCTAACTGCATGTTTGTACTGTATCTCCCAGGACAGTGTGATCTCCTTGAGGGCAGGGTCTGTTTTTCAGATTTCTGTATCCACAGATTAGAGGTTCTCATAATAAATGTATTTAATGAAGTAATGAATCTGATCTCTGATATTTTCTTTATCAATTATTCTCCTTGTTTCAGAAACACTTTTAATTTCTTAAGAATTTCTTTTAGAAATCATGAAGAGGAATACATAATGGATAATTTCACTTATATGGAGTTCTAGAAGAGGAAAATCTATAGCAGGAAAAAAAAAGAACAGTGGTTCCCTCTGGGAGGATAGGGGCAGAAGTTCACCTGGAGGAGGCAGGAGAGAACTTGCTGGGATGGTGCTCGTGGTCTATATGTTGACAGGAGTTTGGATTACACAGGTGTATACATTTATGTAAATTTAAGTAATGTAGAGTTAATCTGTGTACTTCATTGTATGTAAATTTTATAACAACAAAAAAACAAATTTTAAACTCTAGTCAATGATGTGCATGTGAGGACTTTTAGAAGGATGAGTACAGGTGTCAGCAATCTAAAATGCATCAAAAAATAAGATGGATTAGGCTGGGCGCAGTGGCTCGTGCCTGTAAATCCCAGCACTTGGAGGCCGAGACAGGTGGATCACCTGAGGTCAGGAATTCGAAACCAGGCTGGTCAACATGGTGAAACCCCATCTCTACTAAAAATACAAAAATTAGCCAGGCATGATGGTGGGTGCCTATAATCGCAGCTACTTGGGAGGCTGAATCAGGAGAATCACTTGAACCTGGGAGACAGAGGTTGCAGTGAGCCAAGATTGCACCACTGCACTCCAGCCTGAGTGACAGAGAGAGACTCCGTCTCAAAAAAAAACAAAAAAAAAATTAAGATGGACTGATGGATCTAGTTAGTTAAGGGATAAAATAAGTAAAATATTAATGGTAAAACCTTGGTAAACAATGTTCACGGTAAAATTCTTTTAACTTTGCTATTTGGATATTTTCATAATAAAATGTTGCGAAAAAGCATTAGGGGATTTATCATTATTGCTGAATACTTGAGAAACTCAGTTTAACTCTTTTAGTATGCTATTCTTAGATTGCTATGAAGTTATAAGATACCACTGAAATACTTGCAGGAAGGGAATATAAGCCTGTGGCCTAGCAATTTACTTGTCTTCCCCACTAATGATAATAATACAGCAGTTCCCTCCCACTCAGGTCTGGACTATCCCCCCCCCCGCCGATTGTGACAGGGCTGGTGGCTAAAACAGAGGCTAATCTTTCAAACATTCTTTCCTGCCGGGCGTGGTGGCTCCCGCCTGTAATCCCAGCACTTTGGGAGGCTGAGGCAGCTGGTGAGGTCAGGAGAGTGAAACCATCCTGGGTAACATGGTGAAATCCCGCCTCTACTAAAAATACAAAAAAATTAGCTGGGCGAGGTGGCGGGCGCCTGTAGTCCCAGCTACTCAGGAGGCTGAGGCAGGAGAATGGCGTGAACCCGGGAGGCGGAGCTTGCGGTGAGCCGAGATAGCGCCACTGCACTCCAGCCTAGGTGACAGAGTGAGACTAGGTCCCCCAAAAAAAAAAATCTTTCCTAAGACTGCCCAGCGATAAGGGTAAGTCTACCCACCTCCTGACTAGCAGGGACCAGGCTGACCAGGAAAATTATGATTTTCCTGCAATACACTGCAACTTTCAATAAATGCCAGGAAATCTTTCTTTTAAGTACATACATTTATTAAGTACGCAAGAAAAAAACCATTTAGGTAATAACTACTTAAGAATAAATGCAATGTGTCCAGAACAAATCTGATGCTCTGTATTTTAACTTTTAAAAAAATCACAGTTAAACTTGTATCCTTCATTTTACCCCAACAAAAACTAACTTTTTTATAGAGAAGGACTTTAACAAGTAATGTCAACAAGGCATTCTAAAATACTCATAATTTAAACAGCTTGCAAGGAGACAACTATTTTTTTTTGAGACAGGGTCTTGCTCTGTCGCCCAGGCTGTAGTGCAGTGGCGTGATCTCAGCTTACTGCAACCTCTACCTCCCAGGTTCAAGTGATTCTCCTACCTCAGCCTCCTGAGTAGCTGTGACTACAGGCATGTACCACCACGCCCGGCTAATTTTTTGTATTTTTAGTAGAGACAGGGTTTTGCCCTGTTGGCCAGGCTAGTCTCGAACTCCTGACCTCAGGTGATCTGCCTGCCTCAGCCTCCCAAAGTACTGGGATTATAGGTGTGAGCTACTGCACCCGGCTCCTTGGAAACAACTACTTAAAAAAACAAAACAAAACTTTTTTTTAAGGCTAAAAAGTGTTTTGAGTTGTGTATGCCCTGCTTAAAGTTTCAGTTGTTCCTTTTCTGGATTTATTGCTATTGTTAGCAACAGT